ACGCCGAAAACGTGAGTTGAGAGCTCAGCCAAAGAATGGTGTGGGATTCAAGATGAACTGCAGTAAAGCGTTTTCAAGTTGGAGCCTGATGCTGAGAGATGTTGAGAGATTTTGGCGGCCTTGCTTTCGCCACAAAGAACCCTGCTGGCCCGTGACGGCCAACCCTCCCAGCATCCGGGCACACATCCCCACAAATCATGAACCGCGGCCATCAACAGAGTTGAACGACCCGATCTCAAGAAGAGTTAGCCTCCTGTTGTTTGATCACCATGCTGCGGGTTGAGGACGCAGACCCATTGGCAGACATGGCCATAAAACAATGAGCATGTTATATCCGTGCCACCCCACCCCAACATGAGAGAGAGAGAGAGAGACCCTAAACCCTAAACCCTAAACCCTAAACCCTAAACCCTAAACCCTAAACCCTAAACCCTAAACCCTAAACCCTAAACCCTAAACCCTAAACCCTAAACCCTAAACCCTAAACCCTAAACCCTAAACCGTTCCTTTTCTGAACATGGTCGCCGGGCCAAGGCTTGCGGATAGAGTGTGACGAGGTGAAGGACGAGACTCCAAGCAGAAACCGGAACTGCATTTCGTTGATAAACCCTAAACCCTAAACCCCCTAAACCCCCTAAACCCCCTAAACCCCCTAAACCCCCTAAACCCCCTAAACCCCCTAAACCCCCTAACCCCCCTAACCCCCCTAAACCCCCTAAACCCCCTAAACCCCCTAAACCCCCTAAACCCCCTAAACCCCCTAAACCCCCTAAACCCCCTAAACCCCCTAAACCCTAAACCAACCAGAAAAGCTGCACTCTTAAGAACAGGCCATGCTGGCAAGGAATTGTAGGACTGGAGCTGTGGCGGATTCGTCCACACGTTCATTCGGCTCGGGCACACCAGATTGGCAAAGGGGTTCAGGGTTTGCCGGCAATCTCGCCGAGTCTGTCTGCCCCTCCGGAGGATGCAGCGCGCTTAGGGTTTCGGGTTTAGGGTTTAGGGTTTGGGGTTTAGGGTTTAGGGTTGTCAAGGGAGGATGGAGGTGACTAGTAAAGTGGTGTCGTTCATATGTAAGGGAGCGTCCGCTTCATGTGGCAAGGATTTAAGGCCTTACTTCCTGCTTACATGGCACCCTCTGCCTAGACGTACATATAAGCAGGATGTAAGGAGCAGAACTGGAGGTCTTGATGTAAGGACAGATTGCAGCGGAGCATACCAGAAAACTACACACTCGTGTTGTCGTGTCTGGTGTAAATCACGGGTACAAAAGTCACTTGCAAGTGCCTCGGAGCTGCCCTGTAACCTGTACGGCATCTGAATACTATGTAAGCAGCATGTAAGCACCATGTCAGCACCATGTAAGCAGCATGTAAGCACGATATAAGCACCATGTAAGCACCATGTAAGCACGATACAGGCACCATGTAAGCAGCATCTAAGCACCATGTAAGCTGCATGTATGCGCGATACAGGCACCATGTAAGCAGCATGTACGCAGCATGTAAGCACCATGTAAGCACGATACAAGCACCATGTAAGCAGCATGTAAGCAGCATGTAAGCACGATATAAGCACCATGTAAGCACCATGTAAGCAGCATGTAAGCAGCATGCAAGCGCAATGTACGCACCATGTAAGCACCATGTAAGCTTGATGTAAGCACAATGTAAGCACCAAGTGAGCAATATGCAGACACTTGTAAGCGCCATGTAAGTACTATGTAAAGTAGCTCGCACCTGCCCCTATGTTGGGAACACCGGGTTCCGAACGCCCCGACTGATGAAGACCTCCCAACTTACTGCACATATGCGGAAACAGCTTGTCTTACATGTGAGCCTTGAATACAGCGATCAAACAAAGCTTTGCTTACATGGGAACGACACCAGATTACGAGTTACCAGCAGCTAGCTTGGAGTTTGGGGTTTAGGGTTTAGGGTTTAGGGTGGCCTGTCCCCCAAAGTAAAGTCCAGCACCGGCATGCTTTCGCCAGGAGCAGCTTGGTAGCCTCCGCCACAGTCAGGCCCTTGATTCGGTGATTTCTGCAACCCTTGTATGACCTTCAAGGATGCCAAACGATTCAGGCAGGGCCAAGAGCTGACTCAGTCGGGTTACCACATTGTTAAGCACCCTGACTCCTCAGAGCATCAACCAGGTGTTTGCTTGTGGCCTGACAGGCTGAGCATCAGGCAGCAGATGCTTGCTTCGAGGCAGAGGGAGCTGGTGCAGTTCCGGCGCTCGGGTGCGCAAGCACGAGTTTCCCACAAGAACTGAGAAACCAGTGCAGGGGTTTTGCTATCAAAGGACCTGAGAGGCCGAGGAAAGGTTTTGAGGATGGTTTTTCTTCTTGTTGATGCCAAGACGCATGCAGCCTCTGCATGCGTGGACACTCTTGCAAGCGCTTGAAGCCTGAGCATCTGTGGAACAGCATGGTTCACAGGCGCGGCGTCTTCGGAGCGTTACAAAGGCCGCATCCTGATGAGAGGAGGTTGCTCTGCATTTCCCAGAAACGCTTCTAAGCCGGCTCCAGATGCAGTGTGCTTCTTCTGCTATACCTACGGGCATCTACTTTATGAGATAACAGGAGTGATCGAATCATGACGAGAAGCCGTGCAAACTTCAACAAAGGAGTGTCGTGGAGCCAGTCGCTGTTTTTTGTTCAGAGTCTTGAGATCTGGGAGTGTGCCCACGAGTTTGTTTTTCGCGTGTGTGTACTTGCATCATGTCCTCTTCTCGTGTCTTCGGGTCGTGTCGGGGAGCATGTGTCCGGTCTCTCTCACATCTAGCTAAGATGCGCCACGTGTCTGCATTCGGGTTCGTGGTTTCCATAAAGCTTTTGGCCTCAGGGGGCAGAGGGGGCAGAGGGGGCAGAGGGGGCAGAGGAGGTGAGGAGGGAGTGAGGAACCGCGCGCGAACCGCGCGATCACACAGTATATGCAACAGTCCATGGAGTCCAGACGCATCACAACTTGGGATGTTCTGCCTGATATGAACAGTCTTGAATAGGGATTATAGTACCCCCTGTGATGACCCCTTTTAAGGACGGTGAGTATAAGGGGAACATCCGCAAAGCACAGCTCATAGAAACCTAAAGCCAGATCAAGCTCCAGACCTCGGGGCTCGCTGCAAGGCGCTGTCCGTCTGCTCTTCCGAGGGCCAGGATATGCAGGCTGCGGCACATGTACGTGGGAATTTCCGAAACAAGGAAGGGGCCCTGAAAATGGATCCCCACATAGAAAAAGATTGCCTTATAAGAAGGACCCCAATAGGGTACCCCTAATTTCGGACGATGTTAAGGGCCTAAACCCCAAATTCGGAACTGGCAACCTCGCCAGGACAACTAGGCTCGAAAGGGTACTCCGTACTTTTGAAACCGTCGGGTGGTGGTTGCAAACAGCACCCTATAACTCTAAACCCTAAACCCCAAAACCCTAAACCCCAAACCCTAAACCCTAAACCCTAAACCCTAAACAAGCAGCATGTCAGTGCCGTGCTCCCATGCTGCACATGGAATCTGTGCAATGCAGATATTTATCACTCCCATGCTCTCAGCCTTTGAACGTCAGGCCCCGCAGCCTCTCGATCATGTAGGTATATGTGTACGTGTGTGTGTATATACAGTTATATATATATATATAATATGTACATATGTATATAGGTATGTATATATATATATATATATACACATGTATGTGTGTGCGTGCGTGCGTGCGTGCGTGCGTGTGTGTGTGTGTGTGTGTGTGTGTGTGTGTGTGTGTGTGTGTGTGTGTGTGTGTGTGTGTGTGTGTGTGTGTGTGTGTGTGAGAACATGTTTGTGTCTGGATGTTGTCGTTTTTTCTTGGTTTGTAAAGATCCCCACCCATGCCTGAACACAACCCTATCCTTGAAACCATTATAGGTTTAGGTGCCTTTCAAGGCCGGTCCTGCCACGCCAAGCCGTGGCCTGAGACGGCGAGCTGATATTCCCTCGTCTTGGAAGTTATACCAGGGCTTTTTGGGTTTGGGTCCTGGTTGGGCGTGGTCTTCTGATGCAGCTCAGCAGCAGTGGATTTGCCGGCAGCTAAGATTTGGGCCTTCTTCCAAAGTATCCTTAGCGATCTCAACCAGAACCCTAAGCCTCAACATCAGAACCTCAGAGTTTTTTGCGAGCAACCTTGTCCTTTGTTCTCCTTCTGCCGGGCCGATAGGGAGTTCCATATAGGCAAGTGGGTTGTCACATGCGTAAACAGATGGTAAACGGTGAGCCAACACTATGGGGTTGCAACGTCAAGGTCATGGGGGCTCTCCCGAAACGTTGATTTCATCGCACGAAATCGTGTTCCTGCCTGGGCGCAGTGCAGTTTTTGAGCCTTGCACTGTTGCCTCTCCTGCAAATGTGGCAGGCAGGTGTCTTCCTGCGGTTTGTGCATTTTGGATGGGTTCGCTTTGCGCAGCCGCGAGATTCAGGCTCATTCAGGCCGCCTCGGTCCCACGTGCATTAATCATACTCCCGCCTGAGTCCCGTGCACTTTTTGAGTGTCCTATCGTGCTCTCGCCGTCCCGTGCATTCTTGGAGTCCCAATCGGGCGTGCGCCGGCGCTGTAGCCGAAATCGCCTGAACCCGGATTCGTGTTCCCTACAACTTCTGCGGGCCTGCACTGGCAGAGTATGGCAGAGTTGCAATTCTTGCACCTGGGAATGGTGAGCTTCAGGTGCTGAAAACCTCGACGTTGCCAGGATGACTGTTGCCGAGCGCCAAGAGGCCTCTTGCTTTAGGTCTTAGGGAGCTTGGGATTGGTGGGTTTTCGGGTGCGTGCGCGTCTGAGCTGTGGGCGTTGACAGCTTTACGACCAGGGTAGGATGAGTTCACATCCCCACAACCTAACCACCCCCCCGGCGAAGATCATCCTGGATCCCAAAATGCCAAAGTCGGAAGCTTTCTCAGCCCTTAGAGTCTCAGAGCCCTCAATACCCCTAGCGATTCACCTTTAAGGACTACGATGGCCAACGTCGTAAAGCCC